TGATTATAAAATCTAATAAGGTGAATCTCTAAATTTTGAATTGTAATTTCAATTTACAAATATAGGATTTTTTTTAATCAAAACTCATAACCACTAACTTCATATATTAAATATACTATATATATTTTTAAATATTAAAGACAAAAAAAAAAAAAAAAACCTTACACTAACAGGTACAAACCAATAATGTCAAACTAAACATAACACTTTAGTTTGTGTTCATAACCATGGGCTAATTACTGCTAGTCGAGTAGTATAGTTGGAGTTTGAACCTTCTTAACCCCATACTAAGGTTATCAATTTTCCTCTCCTTTTATTCAATTTTCTACGGATTCTCAAATCCTTCTTCTTTCCTTTGATTTCACTTTCCTCACATCCGACTCATCCTCTCCTCAAATCCAGCTCCCTACTGTGTTTTAAGGTTTTATTAGTTAAGTGGAAATGGTATATAAGGTTAAATGCTAAAATGGTCTCTGAACTTTGAAACTTCTACCCGTTTGGTCCTTAAACATTCAACAGTACCTAAATCGTCCTTGAACATTAAAATCAAGTACTTTTCTTTCCTTCCGTTAACTTCCCTATTAAATTTATGTTAACTGGCTGAGGTGGCAGGAAGTCATTATAAAAGTCAGTTTTTTTTTTATTAAAGTAATAATATGTAGGTAATTTTTTATATAATTTTATAATTTTTTATATAATTTTTATATATTATTAATAATAAATTAATATATAATATCATAAGTATTAATTAAATAAAATGATATAGTTTAAGATTGAGATTTTAATTTATTTTAAGAGTTGAGACTGATAAATGTTAAATACATTAAAGGATAAGTATATATCAATCATGTCGTCCTTTTATGGAATTAAAACTCAATTTAAAATTTAAAAATCTATCTTATTAAATATTATATATTTGATATTAAGATTTGGAAACTGATTATAAAATCTAATAAGGTGAATCTCTAAATTTTGAATTGTAATTTCAATTTACAAATATAGGAT